GGTTAAGTGATTAGCCTAGGGTTACAAAGATATGGGACTGGAAACCAGGTCTTCCTGACTCCCAAGCTGACTGTTTACCAACTATGTCACACTGTATCTCATTTAACAAAAAAAAAATTCCCATTTAACAGAAGAGAACCCTGAAGCCCAGAAAAATTGTCATTTGTTCAGTATCACACAGTTTGCTCACAGTAGGCTAGATTTAGAAACCAGTATCTTGGCTAACAGACCAGAATTTTGTTTCTTTTTTTTTCTTTCCCATTGAACTTCCCCAACTAGAAATGATTTTACCTTCATCTGATTTTACATCACTTTATACTTCACTTGTGCATTTATATTGCAATTGGTATTATATATACCTGTCTACACTATCTTGTCTCCTCTTACTACTGGAAACTATAAAATCCCTCATCTGGATTACAGTGTGTTCCCTTGTAGCCCCCCAGCAGTCTATCACTGAGCTTGTACTACTTGACAAGTATTCATTGAATGAATTAGCTATCATGCAAAAAATCATTATGCTTTTTTTCCCTCTTTAATGAATTGTTTTATGTATTAATTGATGGAGTGGTTGGAAACACTGGGTAGAGTTTTGCCAGAAGGTTGGCTATGAAGGGGAAAAAAGATGTGATTATAGCTGTATGGAAAAGAATCAAGGCATCTTTATTGTTTTTGTTTTTTAATTCTATTTTATTTTAGGACTAGAGTGATTTGAACATGTTTCTAAGCCTATGGGAAGGAGAGAGTGGGAGATATATTGAAGACACATGAAAGAAAGAAGGTCATGTTCTATAAAACCTAGGTGGTTAATAAACATTTGTCCTGTTTACATTTTAATTCTAGCTCCAAAATTCTTTGCTCAAGTCATTTCAAAAAGACAGATATTTGGTTATATATCATGCATAGAAATTCTAGAAATACCTTAGAAATAAATTCTAATGACTCAGAGTCTTTACTGTCATTTTGACCAGAGAGATTACAGATTAGACTGACACTCAGAAAAACAAGGTAACAGATGCACACAACAAACAAACAAACATAACAAAATCCTAGAGGAGCAATAAGGAGTAGAAGGGGGGAAATGGGGGGATTGAAAGCACAACCCCTGATGAACTAAATTGTCAGGTTGTATGAATCTAAGCAGTCTACTTTAAGGAAGTAGACTTGAAGAAGAAAATAGTGGCTAAAGAGAGAATCTTTTGATAGGAAAAAAGATGATTTGTTTGTCAAGGGAAAATATAGAGTTGGAATCTGCTGGAAATTCTGTATAAGTAAAGACTTATTAAATCATGATTTGCATCTGGATCAAGTTCAAAAGTCAGGCAACCCCTTCTCATCTCCAAGTTATATCACAGACCTCTTTAGTCTTCCAATCATTCCTTGAGATTCTAACCTCAGAGTGACTTTTATATATGGTTCCTAAATGTAGGAAGACAATTCCTAAAACTCCTACCTATATTGTGTCTCACTAGTTGTTTCATCACTATCTATCCATTAAGGTTTTCAATATGTGCACAATCCTTCTTCTTCCCTTCCACCAATAAACAAAGTAGACACTAGATAACACTCTAGAAGCAACAGTGGCACAATTCCTTTGTACATTACCCTACCCTCGGTGAGAAAGGCAAGATTAGGCATAGCAAATGAAAACAATTTCTTGAAAGTTAATTCCTTTCCCAAGCTTCCTTGGATGAAAAAGTTTTTGAATTCTTATAGAAAAGCATGCTTTCTCCCTCAATTCATGGGAGAGATGGAGAACTATGGGCATATAATGCTGCATACACTTTTAGACACAGTCTATAAGCTTTTTGGGTTGTTGGTTTTTTTTTTCCCCTGTTTCAAGGGAAGGCTCACTGTATGAGGTGATAGGGGCTTTTTCTGCAAATAATGATGATATAAAAATAAAAAGCATGCATAAAAGTTTAAGTAAAAAAGATTATGTTACTCTTCCATGCCATCTGTTTTTTTTTAATGAAGATCAGGAAATACAAAAAAATCATATTCTTAAATATGAAATTCATATTTATAAATTAATATTACTTTGCAGTTCCTGGCAAGCTTTAGATCATTGCACAAAGGATAGAAAGAAGATAAAGATTAAGGAATGAGATGAAACAATTTCTTACTTCAACATACCACTTTTCCTCGTATACCTCAAAAATGAGAAAAAACATATTTTGAAAGTATCATGCTTAACTATTTAAGGAACTACAAAGTATTTACTTCTTGGAATCTAGCCTAAATAATCTCTACATCATATTCCCCATCAGTTATATTTAGTTAAACATTTTTAAAAGTTGTACTGGATTTCTGATATCAAACTGTTAGTGCTAAAGGAGCTACATAATTTGATGGGAGAATTTCTATTTCCAAGCTCTTAGTACATTAATGTCAGATACAAATTCAATTATCAGCAAGCTGTGTCAAAATAGAATTCTCCTCTTTGGTCACTGAGCCAAGATTTATTGGAAATAATTGACACTATCTTTCTCTAGCTGGTCCATATAAACATAGCATCATGATAAATATTGGTTATGGTGTGATTTTCGTATTTTGTTGTTCCCCACCCAAGTCTAAATTGAAGTAGAAAAATCAAGAGAGACTTTAAGACATCGTGTTTTGTGAATTTTGATACAGAATTATCATCTTTTCAATAATCATCTTCTAAACAGCAGGAGTATTACATATATATGTATTTTTTTTTCAAAAGTGGGTTATACATCTGAATGCTTCACAAGTGAAAATAAAGACCTGGGAAACTGAGGATTCTCATCAAAGGCAGGTTGCTGGACACTGAGCCAATCTGCAGTGTGAAATCATCAGATAGTTTTATTTTTGAAATTCTAGCACTTAATAGCCCCCATGCATCTTGAGTAGGAGTCAAAAGTGAAGACATGACCACCAGGTCTGTGAGAGCTCATGTATCACCCCCCTCCAACATGCCTCATAGAAGTCCACACACATAGTAGGTACTCCACAAATATTTGCTGAATGAATTCTCTACTGACTAGCACATTTGAAACAGAAATCTAAATCTGGATCCCTGAAGTCCCTATCAAACGCTATCAAAGCTATAGTCTTATTGTTCTGGCCAAGTCATTTAATCTTTGCATTCAAAATTAATCATCTTTAAGAAGGAAGATCATTATGACATACCTCTACTGGTAAGACAGCAGATTAATTAATGTTTTTGAAGTACAGAAAAAAAGGTGCTATGTAAGTTAATTAGGTAACTTCAGATAGCTTGAATTAAATACTCTATGATAGTTGCTGTGGTGGAATCTTGACCTGTAGTCCACAATATTTATTATCTGTTTATCTTTTCACACTATGTGAGCTATTGATTCTCCTTATATAAAGGCATTATTTTCCTTTATCACCTTCACCATCACTTCCTTCCCTACTTTCACAGAGAAGAAGGAAGAAATTCTAGTGTCAGTAGCTACTAATAATCCTCTCTTTTGAAATCCTAAAGACTTAGGAATGCCATAAGAAAAAGAGCATTTTTCATAAAGATCCCAAATCAGTCAAATTGACTTTCTTTCTTGGTTGGATGGAATTTAAGCTTCTTAGTTTTAACAGTGTGATTAGGCACCAGGCTGTGGAAATCTATTTTTTTCCTGACAGAATAATAGAGAAGCAGTTAGAATTCATGCAAGTGATTTTACCTCTAGCTTATCTTTGAGAGTATGTCATTGGATCTATCATTTTTCTTCTGACAAAACCAATTGTACTGACCACTATATTGTTGGAAAGCATAAAAAGCTGTCAATCAATGTGAATGACTATGCTTTGTCCTAATTGGTTCTATAAGGTGACCAAAAATAATTGAATCAACTGTAGCAATCTGATTTCTTTTTAAAAAAAGCTAATTACATGTAGATTTATATATTTATTGCATGAAGTCCATAGTTTCATTATTGAAATATTTTGTGAACTTAAATAGTAATACTTTCCATTTAAAAAAAAATATTGAATGCTGGTTAATTATAATGACCAAGTTTAGCCCCAAAGAAGAGACAAGAAAATGCACCTCAGTCCCTTCACTGGAGAGGTGGAAGATTTGGTATGAACATTGACATACTGTCAGATTCAGTTGATGTGTTGGTTAGTTGAAGCATATCCACTATACAGAGGCATAGTGGAGAGAGCATTGGACTTGGAGTCAGGAAGTCTTTAGTTCAAATTCAGTCCATGTGACTCTGAACAAATTATTTAACCTCTTTATACCTCAGTTTCCTCATCTGTAAAATATGTGTAATAATAGCATCTACTTCCCAGGGTCATTGTGAGGATCAAAAATATTTTGTAAATCTCAAAGCACTATATAATTGATAGATATAACACATATATTGCAGAAATTTTGTTCTTTCATTTTTATTCAGTCTTATTAGGGATGGATTTCTGGATAGGGAAGGAGGGAAGGACATATTTGGAAATGGAAGTGATTATAAAAACAAAAATCGTTAAAGTTTTAGAGGACCACAATCACAGGTAATAATAGTAATAATAATAATTTAATATAAAATCTAGCTTTTATGTAGCACTTTAAAGTTATACACACACACACACACACACACACACACACAGAGTTATCCCTTCCACATCATGACTTTCCCCATCACAGTTTTGATATATCGCAAGTTAGCATAAGAAATTAAACCAGCAATTTTACAGAAGCCATAGATGACACATGAAGGCCAGCAGACAACACAGCAAAAGTTCAGAAACTCAGAAATGCATAAAACATACGTATGGTATTGTATAATATCAACATCCCATAAAAGAAAAAAAAATCAGACTTCTTCTCTGGTGTGAAGTGAAGGCCAAAAAATGTTATGAGATATTCCAAATCTCAGGGGCACCATATCCCTAAAACCTACAACATGGAAGGGATAAATGTACACTTTTCTTCTGTCAAAATTGTCTGTGTCCTTTTTGTTTTTTATGGAAATATTTGGGATTTAAAATAAAATTAATTTCCATTCTTTGTTTTGCAGCTGTTGTTAGTGCCATCCCAGTGCCAACACTAGAAAGTGCCCAGTACCCAGGAATCTTGCCATCTCCAACATGTGGATACCCTCATCCTCAGTTCACTCTCCGCTCTGTGCCGTTCCCAACACTTGCTGTTGATCGAGGCTTCGGAACAGGAAGAAGTCAGTGTAATATATTTTCATTTCTTTCTATGTGAGCATTCTGCTAAATCTGACAGTGTCAGAGGGGAGTTAGTCTGCTTTCTTAGTCCTAGGAAAGTTCTCTTTGCATCTTAAGAACATCAGAATTTATACCACCAACTCATTCCATCCTCCAGATCCTATTTAAATATTTATGGAATATTCCAATGGGAGTCTTTAAAAAAGTCAGTTCTATTGTCAAGGCAGAGGAAGGGGAAAAATTCTGAAATTCAGCAATTAACAAAAGTCATATTGGGAATGCTAGAAGCTAACACCTTCTGTCATCTTCCTAAAGTAGCAAAGGAGTGTTATTATCCTCTAATTAACTTGTTTATCACAACTTAGTTATCTGTAACATTGTCTCATTGAATCTTGATTAGCCAGTACTTAACTAAATGCTTCTGCCTTCTGCTGCCAAACCTATCATTAGATTAACTTAGTTAAATCAGTGATGTGATACCTTTCCATCTGTAAGAGCTAATTCCTGGCTAGGAGATTCTACTAGTAGCATCTTTTTTTTTAGGAATAGATAGATAGATAGATAGATAGATAGATAGATAGATAGATAGATA